CTCGGCTCTACGGACTCGTCCGAAGGTGGAGCTGAGAGCGTGTGACCTGTAGCCAGAGGAGTGGCCTGTGCTGAAGACCAGGTGAAGCCGAAGCGCTGAAGGACCTGCTGCACCATGTGTGACTGAGTCAAGGTGATGGTGCGACGTGCTCTGTCTCGGGTGATCTGCAAGCCAAGGTAGCTGCGCAGCTCACCCAAGTCTGTGCACGTGTGTCTCTTCTGCAGCTCCGACTTCACGTGGGCGAGAGCCTCAGTGTCAGCAGTGGCAAAAACCAAGTCGTCGACATACACGAGGATGTAGAACGGCGGCAGGGAAGTGTCGGTGCGCAGAAACAGCGACGGGTCAGCAGTAGAAGGCGCAAACCCAAGAGCCGCAAGTGTAGTCCTCAGTGTGTCGTGCCACTCACGTGGCGCCTGGCGGAGACCGTAGACCGGCCGCCGGAGGCTCCACTGGGTACCAGGAGGGAACGACCCAGTGAAGCCCGGGGGGCGGCGCAGCCAGATCTCCTCGTGCAGGCTGCCCTGCAGGAAAGCTGTGCTGAAGTCAAGAGAGTGAAGCTCGTAGTCACGGTGAGCAGCAACGTGCAGCAGCACTCGAAGAGTGGTCATCTTCGGAGTGGGGGAGAAGGTCTGGAAGAAGTCAACTCCCTCTCGCTGACTGAAGCCTCGAGCCACGTAACGCGCCTTGAAGACAGGCGGAGAACCCGGCGGCCGCTTCACCCTGAAAATCCACATGCCACTGACGATGTTCGCCCCAGGTGGGGGAACCTCGTCAACGTAGGTGCCTGTGGACTTCCAGGAAGCCATCTCTGCGTCCATGGCTGCCTGCCACTGAGAGGAGTAGGGACCCTCTATCGCCTCTGCGTAAGAGCGCGGAGTCGGGATGTCTGGTGCATCCGGGTCTCCCTCAGGGGCAAGTAGCGAGGACACAAGATGAGGTAAAGCAGCAGCAAGGCACTGGAACTCCTCCTGCCTGTCCTCAAGGACGTCCGTGCTAAGAGCACACTCACCCCCGACGGACGGAGGACAGACAGACTCAGACTCAGTAACAAGACTGGCAGTGAAGTCTAGACGACAGGCAGCAGCAAAGTCAACAAGCTCAGCGACAAGAGCAGACGCAGCAGCAGACTCAAACGACGGGTCAGTGACAACTGTGGCTAGTAGACGCGTGACAGTAGGGTGCTGAGCACGAAACCGGTCAGACGCAGGGTCCGGAACGTCAGGCAAAGAGGACGCAGGAGGAGACGGCAGAGGAACAGGCTGCGGAACAGAGGAAGGACGACGGACTACGAGGTGCGCGCTGGGGACAGCCGGCGGACGCGAACGAGGAACACGAGGACCGGTACGACCAGGACGAGCAGGCGAGACAGGACGCGACGCAGGCTCACGACGCACAGCAGGACTACCAGTCAGCTCAGCGTAAGGAGAAGGAGCAGGCAGCGGCGAGCCAGTCTGTAACGGAAGACCAGTAGACGACGGAAGAGTAAGAACCTGACGAAGAACAGAGGCAGACGGCGGCAGAGACGACGGAGACGGCGGAGCGAAGAACAGTCGTGTCGGCGCAGCTGCACCAGAACCAGCAGCTCCAGCAGCTCCAGTGCCTCCAGCAGCTCCAGTACCTCCAGCAGCTCCAGTACCTCCAGCAGCTCCAGAAGCTCCAGGCCCAGAGCCGACACCTCGAGTCCCAGGGTCTCCAACCTCTGTGTCTCCAGCAGCAGCACCCCCAGAACCAGCACCTCCAGTCCCAGGGTCTCCAACCGCAGGGTCTCCAGCAGTAGCACCCCCAGAACCAGCACCTCCAGCTCCAGGGTCTCCAACCTCAGCGTCTCCAGCAGCAGCACCCCCAGAGCCAGCACCTCCAGTCCCAGGGTCTCCAGCCTCAGTGTCTCCAGCACGAGCCCCTCCAGAACCAGCAACTCCAGCACCTCCAGTAGACAAAGGACCAGCACGACTCCGAGCTCCAGCAGCGCGACGCTGACGGCGACCGTACCAGTCCTGCAGCTGCTGTGGGGTGAGAGGCACACGGGGACGAAGGCGGCCACTCCAAGGAGACCGCGCAACAGCAGACTCAGAACCCTCAGCGCCCGCACCCCCAACGGCTCCAGAACCTCCGGTGTCAGTACCCTCAGCACCAGTACCTCCAGCGACTCCAGAACCTCCAGCGCGAGCACCCTCAACAGCTCCAGGACCTCCAGCTCCAGCGCCACCAGGACTAGGCCCTCCAGCAGCTCCTGAACCTCCAGCGCCAGCACCCTCAGTAGCTCCAGAACCTCCAGCGTCAGTACCGCCAAGCTCAGCACCCCCAGACCCCTCACACGCAGGCTCAGCACCACCAGGCTCTACACCCTCAAGCTCCGCACCCTCAGGCTCAGTACCCCCAGACTCAGCACCCCCAGGCTCCGCACCCCCAGGCTCAGCACCCCGAGCAGGACCACTCGCAGGAGGACCTGAGTCACCAGTGACCTCAACCGGCGCAGTCAAGGGAGGAGGGTCTACCTGAGAAACACCTGAAGGAGCAGGACCGGGAGCGGGGAGGGGGTCTACCTGGGGAGCACTTGGAGCAAGGAAGAGCGGCGGGGGGGGGAGCGAGGCAGTGCGGTAGGGGAAGAGACGGTAAAAGGGAACCGACTCGTCGAACGTGACGTCCTGAGACGCAAAGACACGGCGCGAGGTGGGGTGGTAAAACTGCCAACCAGGCGCGTCAGGGACAAAGCCAAGGAAGACACAGGGAACAGCGCGGGCGGAGAGCTTGTCCGCGGTGGTATCGCGGACAAAGGCACGAGCACCCCAGACCCGGAAACGCGACGCATCGCCAACCTTCCCCGTCCACAGCAGTGTGGGCGAGGTCTCCGGCAAGGAGACACGGGGCCAGAGGTTGAGCTGATGCGCGGCGTACCGGACCGCAAACGGCCACAGAAAATGGGGGGCAGCCGCATGGATCATGGAGGTACGAGCGACCTCCATGACTAAGCCAATGCGGCGCTCAGCAACCCCATTCTGCTGCGGAGAGGCCGGAAGCGTGAACGACTGGGTGATGCCGTGCTCCGCACAGTAGGCTGCCAAGAGGTCGGAGGAGAACTCACCACCTCTGTCAGAGTGCAGACGCAGGACAGGAAAGTCCGACCGGAACCGCTCGCGGAGCTGGAGACGAACAGCGCGGATCCAGGGGATCAAAACAGCAGGGACGTCCCCCTTGCTCTGCAAGGGGAAGACCGTGGTGTAACGCGTGTAGTCGTCGACGACCAGCAGGAAGTACCGCTCGCGGCCCTGTCCCTGGACGCGGGCTGGGCCCCACACGTCCAGGTGGAGCGTCTGCAGTGGAGCCTCTGTGGGAGGAAACGAGGAGGAGTGAGGAGCGGCGCGCTGCCGCCCCTCGACGCAAGGAATGCAGGGCGGCGCAGGCGAGGGAGGGAGGGCAGGCAGGGACCTGGGAAGACCAGAGACCAGGGAGCGAGAGTGCATGCTACGCAGGCGAGGCAAGGAGGGGTGACCAAGGCGGTGGTGCCACAGGAGAGTGTCGTGCGACAAAGCGCGACACTCGCAGGGGGCCGCCAGCTGACCAGACGCAGACGCAAACGCAGACGCAGCTACCTGAGGGGACTCAGTGGTCAGTGTGTACAGACTCGAGCCAGGTGCACGGGTGAACGTGGCCAAGTGCCGGCCCGTCCTAGCACACGTACAGTGAGTCACTCGCTGACTCGCAGGAGTGAACTGGTCAACCCCCCCATCCTGGAGGTCAGCTCCACTCACCAAGTTCGTAGAGAACGAGGGGAGGTAAAGACCTGACAGCGAGCCGGACGGGACGGCCGGACACGGCAGAACCGTGGAATAGTGGGCAAGGACTGGACCCCCAGAGGGGTCCGCCAGGGACTGTGGTGCAGTCGCGAAAGAAGGAGCGGGAAGCTCCTGAGTCAAGGGTGAAGGTGTGCGAGACCGCAGTGGGCGCAGTACCAGAGAGAGCAGACACAGCAGCACCTGATGCCACGGCCTCACCAGTACCTAGAGCAGTAGACGTACTAGCACCGAGAGCAGCAGCCTCACCAGCACCTAGAGCAGGAGACGCACTAGCACCTAGGGCAGCAGCCTCACCAGGGTCAGGCGGTACGCACAGGCAACAGGCACGGTCAGCACTAGTAGACAATGCATACATGGCAGTGAGAATAGCATCATAGTCAAGCGCAAAGATATCTACCCTCTGTCTATGCAGCTCCAGCCAGGTGGGGAGCTCAGCCTCGTCGCCAAACACTGTGCGCCAGTCGTCGCTCAGACGGGCGAAGCAGCGGGACTGTGTGTGACCAAGCGTCCCACAAGGCTGACCAGTCCTAGCACCTGTGCGAATGACGTACGGGCAGCGGACTGTACGCGTAGACCTGCTACACTGAGCGTACCACTCCTGGAGCTGCCGGGGCGTAAGTGTCTCACGTGGACGTCCCTGCAGCTGCAGCTGGCCACTGCCAGACGCTCCCAACTGACCAGCTCCAGGGCGACAGCTACGACGGCTACCGCGACAACCCCAGCTAGTATACCACTCACTAAGCTGCTGAGGCGTCAGAGGCTCGCGTGAATGTCGCTGGAGCTGCATCTGGCCACCTGCCAGTAGCAGTAGCGCAGGAAAGGCAGGCGCGGCAGGCAGGCAAGCAAGCAGGCAGGCAGGCAGGCAGGCAGGCCGGCAGGTAGGCAGGCAGCCAGGCAGGCAGGCAGGCAGGCAGACAGGCAGGCAGGTAGGCAGGCAGGCAGGCAGGCAAGTAGACACGCAGGCAGACAGGCAGGCAGGCAGGCAGGCCGGCAGGCAGGCAGGCAGCCAGGCCGGCAGGCAGGCAGGCAGACAGGCAGGCCGTCAGGCAGGCAGGCAGGCGCTCACCAAAGGCTGGGAGAGCAGGGCCGGCGCTCGAGTAGGCGCACGACAGCGGCGACGTCGGGGCCGCAAAACCGGCTGCAGAGCAGGGCCGAAACAGCTGGAGGGCGCTGCCGCGTCAGCGGCAGTAGCAGGGTGGGGCCGCGTCAGCGGCAGGTCGGGGTCGTGGCAGCTGCAGGGCGGGGCCGCATCAGCGGCAGGTCGGGGCCATGGCAGCTGCTGGGCGGGGCCGCATCAGCGGCAGGTCGGGGCCGAGGCAAAGGGCCGCGCGCGGCCGCGCTAGGGAGTAGCGGGCCGCGCGCGGCTCGGCGCGGGCTGTTGCGGGCCGCGCGCGGGCCGTGCGAGGCAGGAGCAGGCCTCGCGCGGCTCGGCACGAGCTGCTGCGGGCCGCGCGCGGGCTGCGCGAGGCCGTAGCAGGCCGCGCGCGGCTCGACGCGGGCTGCGCGGGCTCGGCGCGGGCTGCGCGCGGCAGCTGCGAGCTGCGCGCGGCTCGGTGCGGGCTGCGCGCGGTTGCAGCGGGCTGTGCGCGGCTCGGTGCAGGCTGCGCGCGGCTGCAGCGGGCTGCGCGCGGCTCGGTGCGGGCTGCGCGTGGCTGCAGCGGGCTGCGCGCGACTCGGGGCGGGCTGCGCGATCTCGGTGCGGGCAGCGCGCGGTAGCAGCGTGTGTGCGGGCCCGACAGGCGTGTAGAGGCGGCGCGCGGGCCTTACGGGCCTCTAGGGGCAGCGCGCAGGCAAGGCAAGGCAAGGCAAGGCATACAAGGCAAGGCAAGGCTACGTGGGGTAGCGCGGTAACCGCAGCGGTAGGTGGGCCCGAAAAAAAAACGGTCCTACGGACCTTAGTGCTCTGATACCATGTTAGAATCTAGCAGCAGGAATGGATGAACTAACAGGATGCAGGAGTACAAGTAGTAAACCCTAACTAGGTTGTACCCCATATGGGCTACCCCACTACAGCCTAGACAATATGCAGCACATATAGTTTGACATCTGAAGTGAGATTTGTCCGAAAGGATCGTTCAGGGTTGATCGCAGGTAGTGTCGCAGCGGAAGTAGTGAACTCAGGTCAGAGTGAATGTATTTGACTGAGATTGATAATAGCATGCATACATAGGGTTTATATAGAAATACAGAGGAATGCGAAACGACCTAGACTAGCCATGTACTCTAAGGGGTACATTCCCTTATTCCAGCGAAATTCAAACCGTGCGGCGCGGGAATCAGTTTCAAACCTGTTCCCGCTCTTTTCACTTCAAGTGTTTCTGCTTGCATCGGTCTTGGTCAGACGGTTGCTGTGTCGCTTCGACTCTTCTGACTCCTCGACTTCGTACTTGGTAGAGTCGGCTCCTGTAGCATACAGGAATGCCTTCTCATAAAACTTCATATCGTAACACTCCCCTTCATTCCTGGACGCGAGGGGTGCTGACTCGCTTGACCACTCCGGTGAGGTCTGAACAGTGCGTGAACTGCTGACGTGGCAAACGCTTGGTGAGGAAGTCGGCTGCCATCTCAGTGGTCGGGCAGTAAGCGAGGTCAACTTTGCCCTGGTCGATTTCGTCCTTGACGAAGAAGTACCGTAGTGCGATGTGCTTCGTGCGGTTCACGAACCCGGGCTTGTTCGCGATCTTGATCGCGCTCTGGTTGTCGCAGTGCAGGCGAAAGGTAGGTGAGTTGGAATTTTTGCCTCCTGTAACAGTTCCTGCAGGTACAGTCCTTCGCGAACTGCTGCTGTCGCGGCGATGTATTCAGCTTCGGCCGATGACAGGGCAACCAGCTCCTGCTTCTGCGAGTTCCAGGAGATGGGGCCAGTTGGCTCCAGGCGAAAAACGAAGCCGGTTCGGGACCGTCGATTTGCTGGGTCAGCAGCATGGTCAGCGTCCACGTAGCCGTTGAGGTTGAAGGATGTCGTTGACAGCGTGGAGTAGGAGAGGCCGATGTCAGGCGTGGAAATGAAGTATTGCAGGGCGCGCTCCAGGTCCAGCTGGTTCTCGGCTACTGGTTTGCGGGAGTACTGTGCCAGTTGGCTGGCGATGTACGAAAGGTCGGGTCGGCATGTGACAGATGCGAACAGCAGGCAGCCCAGCTGCTGCTGGTACAGTTGGAGCCCCGCGGGAGACAAGGGCTTGTTGTCCGGTTTGTAGTTGGTGCTGGGGCTGCGGTAGGGAGTTGAGAGTGGTGCGCGTGAGATGTTGAACCGTTCTCCCAGCTGCTCTGCGTACTTTGAAGCTGACAGATGAATTGCTTCTGGCGCGTAGGTGATGTTCAGGCCCAGAAACTGAGTGACGTTGTGGTTGATGGTGATGTCCACGCGCTTCGCCAGGTTTTCCTCGAACTGGTTAAGGAGCGTGTTGCAGGTGCCCGTATAGAGCAGGTCGTCGACGTAGACGGTGAGGAGGATGTAGTCGCCGTTGAAGTGGAGGCGGTACATTCCCGGGTCGTGTGGCAGCTGCCTGAAGCCGATTTCCAGTAGAATTTTGTGCAGGTGCTGCTGCCAGAGACGAGGCGCCTGCTTGATCCCATAGAGGGATTTCTTCAGCTGGCAGACCCTGGGATCTCCTTCTCCGTAGGTGTGTGGCTGCTCCACAAAGATGGTTGCGTCCACTAACGCATATAGGAATGCGTTCTTCACGTCGATCTGTCGCAGTGGCAGATGCTTAGCGGCGGCTATGGCGAGTAGGATTCTGACGGAGGTGTGACGGCTGACAGGAGCGAAAGTCTGGTCGAAGTCGATGCCGTGGCGCTGGTCGTAGCCTCGGACCACCCATCGTGCCTTGAAGCGTTCGATGGTTCCGTCAGCGTTAGTCTTGAGTCGAAAAACCCACTTTCCGCTTAGCACCCTCCTCCCCTTCACTGCTGCACGATCGACGAGAACCCATGTGTCACGGGACTCCAGCGCTTTTAGTTCGGCGTCCATAGCTGCACGGCACTCTTTGGCGTGCGGGCCGGTGAGGGCTTGGCGCGGGTTCTTTGGTTCGACGGCGCGAGCCATGGCGGAGACGGAGGTGTGGAGCCCGAGAAGTTGCAGACCGGACACGTTTGTGGTTTCTGTGGTGTCGGTGATGGGGACTTCCACCACGTCATCATCGTCGCTCTCGTGAGCAGGTGAGGAAGTTCCTGGGGCGGTGTCGCGGCGGGATGGTCCAGGGGCAGGTGCGTCGTCGCTGTCGTCGTCGTCATCGTCCGTGCGGGGGCGAGGCGGGATGCCGGGATGATCGTCGGTGTCGTCGCGATCGAAGGCTGCTGCTGCTGCTTCATCCTCGGGAGATGCAAAGCTGCGACCGCTGTTGACATAGCCGCGAGCTTGGTTGCGTTGTTCATCCTTGATCCACTGCTTCAAGGTGAGCCTTTCGTAGAAGAGGACGTCACGCGCGGGGACAATCTCCTTGCTGTCAATGTCGAGAATGAGCCAGCCCTTGTGTTCGTTGCTGAGCCCCAGATGAACCCCCCATCGTGCACGTTCAGTAAACTTGCCGATGTGTGCCGAAGTTGGCCGGTACTGCACCATGCACCCCCAAACCCTCAGCATGGAGGGATCTCCCTTTGTGCCGGTCCATTTCATGTGTGGGGAAAGGTTGTCTCTGTTGGCCGTGGTGGAGAGGAGGTTGTATAGGCGTACTGCGTGGTTCATGGCGTAAGGCCAGAGCTTCTTGGGGAGTCCGGACTGGTTCATGACGGCGCGTACTTTCGTCATGAGGGTGCGGTTTACCCTCTCTGCGACTCCTTGCTGCTGATGAGCGTAGGGGAGAGAGATCTCATGCTTGATCCCCTTTTCGGTGAGGACGCTTTCCAGCTCGTGGCTGCGGAACTCCTTGGCGCCATCACTCTGCCAGATTTTCAGCTTCCTCCCTGACTGTCGCTGTGCGTGTGCAAGCCAGATCCGGAAGACTTCTGGAGCCTTGGACCGTGCGTCGACGTTGGCGATCCAGACGTGGCGAGAGTAGGCGTCGATGAAGGTCAGCGTGTATTTTTCGCCGTTGAGTCCGTCGCAGGTGAGTACGATGAAGTCGCTGTACACCTTCTGCAGTTTCTTGTAGCGGTTGGTGCTTGGCTCCAGTGAAGGATATGCGCTGTGAGTGAGGGCTGCAGTGGGGCAGACGGTGCAGGTGAGTGGATGTGAAGTGTTGTGTGGTTCGGTGCCGTCGGGGCGCAGAAGTGCTCCTGGGGGGAAGACCTTGGCGCGGAGGCAGTTGGCGAGAGTCTGGCGCGAGGGATGCCCGAGTCGCTGGTGCCAGAGGTCGTCTTCGGCGCGAATGCCGCTGCTGCGCATGTAGCGTGCGCGATGCTCCGCTGCATCCTCCTCTGTTTCTTGTGGGATCTGGAGCGGTGGTTCCTCCTCTTCTCCTGGTTCTGTTTCGTTTTCTGCTCCTTCTGCTTCTTCTTCTGCGGTTGTCTCCCCTTCTGCAGGCGCGGTCGAAAGATAAAGGGCGAGAAATTCGCGGTCGGGGATGATGGTGAGCGGTGTTGTTGTGCCTTCGATGAAGCGGGCGTATGGATCTGGACGGGAGATTGGACCAAGAGAGTCTCGGACAGGTGTTAGAGGTACATCCCCCTTCTCAAGCTCCGTCCAGGTGCTATCCCAGCGCCAGGGTGAGCGGGGTGGTGAGCGTCGAGGTGGCGGTCGTCCGAGGGGTATGGCGACACGGGGTGATTTTTCTCCACGTTCGGCGCGCATCTCCTGTTCTGCTTCCTTCAGCTCCTCTTGGGTTATGTCCGTTTCAGTTGTTTCTTCCGTGCCCCAGCCTCCAGTGGTAACCATGCCGCTGCCGCTGGCTCCCCATGCTCCAGTGGCTGATGCCCAGGTAGCGCCGGTCTCGGGCTCGTAGTCATCGTCTCCCCATCCGCCTCGTCGTGCAGACTCCTCGCTCCAGCCTGCTGCGAGGCGTTCTTCATACAACTTTTGTTTCTTCTCTGCCCTGGCTTTGTCTTGTTCCTCCTTGACGCTTAACTCCTCTTCCTCATCAGGGTCTTTCCAGGCTGGGTCAATTTCCCGGCGGTAGACTTCGCGGGTGTACGGGCGCGGGCGTCCTTCCTCGTCTATGGTGGTGGCGTTGGCCTCGAGGATGAATCGGAGGGTGTCGGAACGTGGTGCGGGGCGCGGATCAGGCTGGTGACCCCATTGCTTGTTTTCTTCTCCGAAGATGCGGTAAGTTGATACTGCGAGTTCTTCCTCGGTCATGCCGCTGGGTTCTTGTTCAGCACTTTCCGCCTCTTGGATCGCAGCGTACTGCCTCTCGACTTGCTCCGTGCGGCTTGCCGCGGGTGTGTGGCAGGTGGTGCAGAGTCCGTTGATGTCGGGGTTGTGCAGATTGATTTCGCGCGGATGCGGGCTGCGGCGGATCCATGGCCGTCCATCAGGATGTTGCCACGATTCTTCATTCATGAAGGCGAATTCGAGGGGGACCAGGTCCACGAGCTCATCAGATGAGGCTTTACAGCTTGGTACGTCGAAGTCCAGAACGTAGATCCCGTTTATGGAGCGGGCTCGACCGAGGTATTTGAACGACTCGGGAGGTGTGTCTGGAGGGGCGTACGTGAGGATGAGGTCGCGCGTGGCCAGGTCGGTGGTGAGTATGACGCCGCAGTCGCGAAGTTGTCCTGCTGAGAGCAGATTAAAGCGCAGGTCTGGGACGTAGAGCACGTCGTTGAACGAGATGTGGGTGTTGCTGTCTCGTGCTTGCAGGACGACAATGCCTTGGGAGTTGGCGCGCAGTTGGTGGCTATTAGCAACGGTGACGCAAGTTGCGGGGGCGCGGTTGAGGTTCGATACGTAGCGAGTCGAACCCACCATGTGCTGTCCGCAGCAGCTGTCCAGGTACCAGGTGTTGTAATTATCTTTGTTGTTGTTGTTGCGGAGTAGTAACGCGAGTCGGGGTGTTACTAGCGTTGCCTTGTAGCGTCTGTAGAAGGATGGGTCTTCGTCTTCCTTCCATCCGACAGGTACGTGGATTTGATTGTCGTGTGGCGGGCTTTCCCGCAGTGTGATTGGCTGATTCCAATCCTGCTCGTCTTCGTCGTACAGGTAATGGTGATCTTCTGTAAGGGGGTTATTCCACCCCTCCTCTGATTGCGGCAGTACTCCCTGAAGTTCTTCTTCTTCGTCAGGTTCGTCGGTGCGGCGGCGTCGCGTCGCCATGTTTGCGATTACGTTTCTGGGAGCTCCTCCTTGAGATCCTTGTGACTGCTGTGGTTGTTGTTGTTGTGCAGGAGGACGGGAGACTGGTTGTTGGGGCTGAGAGTGACGAGCGTCTTGTCGGCTGACCCAGTTGTTGTGGTGAGTGGAATTCGGGTGCCGATAGTTGGATCGGGATTTGCATCGATCCGTTGAATGCCCGAAGGCTTTGCAAATTTTGCAGTAATGGCGCCTTGGTTGTCGTCGCTCTTCACGGTTGTCCGCGTAGAAGGCGAGTCGCTCTCGGCGTGGCGCGGAACTCGTTCTGCTCGAGTCCATGTCCTGCTGTTCAGTCAGCAGTGCGGCGCATAGCGCGGCTTCGGAAAGTTGTCCTCGTTGTCGGAGTAGTGCCTTGCAGGGCTTCCACTCGGGCCCAAGTCCCTGGAGGATGATGTTTACGAATATCTCCTCCGAGATCGAACTTCCGTTCTTGATGATTTGATCACGGATGTTCCGACAACGGTTGATGTAACTGTTTGCTTTCTCCCCGTGCCCCATCTTCGTCTCCATGAGTTGTTGCAGGAGGCGGCTTGCAGTGACGGAATCCTTCGGCTGATATACCTCCACGAGGTGCTTCCAAGCTTCAAGAGCCGGAGCGGCGCTCTCTTTATAGGAGCGGATGCCGAGCTGTTCTGCCGGCGACATGTTGCGCAGCAGAACGCTATACGCCATGAGCGACTCACTGTAGTATTGAGCGCGGGCGTCTTCGGTGTCTTCCACCGGTTTAGGATAGGAGCCGTCGAAGTAGTGGTAGATCTGCGCTGTCTGTAGGAGGAGCTCAAGCTCAAAACTCCATGTATAAAAATCCTTGCCGTCAAACGCGGCAGTAGTCTTGATCTTTGACACACTGAGAAAGCGTGCTTGCGCAGAGTTGATGGTTTCGTCGCTTGGACGAGGGGCAGTTGTTGCAGATTTGTCTGAGTCGAGGGAGAAGCCGTGCGCGGCGGTATCGCGGCTTTTCGCAGCCGGTTGTCCAGGTTGAACTGGTTGGGAAGTGGTTCCCGCATCGCCTTTGCGCAGATCTTGGAGTTCTTTCTCCATTGTTGACAGTCGAGCGAATAACTGCTCGAGCGCGGCAGTGCCAATCGTAGTTGTCGCCTCATTTGTCGCAGCCGGGTTGGTTTGTCCTTCGGCCGTTAGATTTGTTTGACCTCCGGATCCTCCGGCCATCTTGGTCTTGGAACGTGTGCCGCTCGCCAGTTTTGGTTTGGCGAATTTTACGGAGTTGACGTTGCGAAGAATCCCTGAGCAGCTCTCATACCATGTTACAATCTGAAGTGAGATTTGTCCGAAAGGATCGTTCAGGGTTGATCGCAGGTAGTGTCGCAGCGGAAGTAGTGAACTCAGGTCAGAGTGAATGTAAATGACTGAGATTGATAATAGCATGCATACATAGGGTTTATATAGAAATACAGAGGAATGCGAAACGACCTAGACTAGCCATGTACTCTAAGGGGTACATTCCCTTATTCCAGCGAAATTCAAACCGTGCGGCGCGGGAATCAGTTTCAAACCTGTTCCCGCTCTTTTCACTTCAAGTGTTTCTGCTTGCATCGGTCTTGGTCAGACGGTTGCTGTGTCGCTTCGACTCTTCTGACTCCTCGACTTCGTACTTGGTAGAGTCGGCTCCTGTAGCATACAGGAATGCCTTCTCATAAAACTTCATATCGTAACAGAAAACAATATCCGCGTGTTATGAATGAACTTGTCAGAGTGCGCAGATATCGAATAACGAGAATGTTGAACTACAGAATGCCTGAACAATGAAGTAGCGAGGCCTAAATAGGGGAAAACCTAGCTAGGCGGGGATGGTGTGGTAGAGTTGGCTCGCGAAGTGTCGCGATTGGTGCGGAGGCGGCTCGGTGAGGTTGGGATGCGAAATTGTAGGCCGAACCAGTTGGTCGCGTGGCCCTCGGGATGGCCTCGCTATCGAGCGCCTCAGTAAGGATTTGTAAATCCTTACACTCTCCCACCTCCTAAATAAGGCAGCCCTGTACTGAAAAGGGTCACCCAGTAGCGAGGATGCCGTTGATCTTCACTTCAGCTGAATCCGACGGCTGAAATGCCCCAGACAATATTGTTGAAAAGGTTGGAATGTCGGCCGTTGATGTTGTCAGATTTCGATCTGACGGTCGAAGATGAAGTGGCCCAAATGTAATGAAAGTTGGATTGTGGGCCGTAGATGCAGTCAGATGTCGATCTGACGGATGAGGATGAGCTGGCCCAAAATGAAGTGGAAGTTGGAATGTGGGCCGTTGATCGAGCAGCAGCGAATCTGACGGTCGAGGCAGATGCGATTTTGGAGGGAACCTGCTGACGCGAATTCAAACGCGATTGAGTAGGGATCGTTGATCGTGAAGCAGCAATCGTAGTCGTTCGTCGTGCTGACGCAACCTGACAAAGTCAGAAAAGGACCAAGAAAACGCCAAGGAAAGAACAGTGCGAAGCACTTTCTCCCCCACTCCAAGAAAACACACCATAAAAGTTCCAGCAGCTGCGCCGAGATGAAAACAAACAAAACCGGGTGTTAAGTCCCACCGAAAACGAGCGACGAGCGAAGAGTCCAGGCGAATTGTGTCGGTGTGGAAATTCGATGACGAAACCAGTTGTTACGTGCCCCAAAATCTTCAAGGGCGAACCACTTTATCAGGGTCAGATGACGTCAGCTACTCCCGGCAGTTTGTCCAGACTCGCCGAGGAGTTTGTCGCGTTGCGCCGAGGGGTCCTGGGCAGAGATGAAAAAATTACAGCTGTCTCTCCCCCCTTCCACTGTTGCTGCTGCCACCTCCAGTTCGTCGTAAGTCCTTCGTACCCCTTGAAAACTCCGTGTAGATCTCGCAGTGTTGCCCACACAAATGCGCGCGCGTTTAATCAAACGCCGAATACTCCTCCGATGTTGTCGCCGCTTCCCGGCGTAAAACCTGCAAGTCCCCGTTGAAATCTCCGAAAATGTCGTTGGAACATAACCCCGAAACTCCGCAGTTGCAGGTGCAGTTCGCCTCCGAAATCTTCGGTCGTGCTATAGCCCCCACCCGGTCACCATCAGTTTCCGTCGGTTTACCCGACCCCAGCATGTGGGTTCAATCGAGAACCGGGGACTGCCCTGGGTCTTCCGAGACCGAATTTCACGGAACCTAGTGGCATCAACGCCTTTGACCCCGTCGTCGAAACTGCTCCAGTCGGTGTCGCTTAACTGAAACCCATGCAAACTCCCACTGGCGCTTTGCGATGTTTCACCTCATCGCTCGTCACCGGCAGGTAAATCCCGAAGCCTCGGCTGCTCCCACGCTCCCTGAAGAATTTCCCGCGGTGTACGTTTAAACACCCGTAAGTTCTAGGTATCAACCGCACTCCAAGAAACGAAGAAACACCCTCAGCTTCAACTCCTTTTTTTTCTTTTTTTTTTGTAGAAAGATAACCCCGAAAATCGTGGTTGAGGCTGCAGTCCCGAAGTTATTCTCCGCCGTATAGCCCCGACGTTTCCGCCGTTTTTTCCCTGGTACTCCGATGTTCACCCATCTTCGTACCCGCCGGACTACTTAGCGAATCCCAGGTATCCTTGGCAATGTACCGCTCGCCGCGCCTCCATGTAACGATATCAAACCCTTTCGGGGGTCTACCGAATAGACTCCGAAATTCGCGGTAGATTGGTGCACGGGCTCAACCTATCACTCAAGTGATCTGCTGGATCACCCACAACTTTCCCTCCGTCGTCATATTTTTCGCATTCACCCCCCGACAATTCCGCTTCCCGCCGTTCACCCAGCGTCCGCTTTTGTCGGATGGGGTATCGTCGTTGTTGCCCACGCGAACTCGGCCACGGTGGAGAGGCAAAAACTATCGGAGTCGGGGCAGCCTTAGTTAAAAGGAAACTGTCGCCCAACCGTTTTGCAGCCCGCCGTGCCTATCACGCCACAAAATTCCACAGCTTCCCGATCTCAGCTTCGCCGCTGCGCCGTCAATTCGTGTAGACGGCCGGTTCAGGAGAAACCTGTAGACTGCACCATTTCTTCTTCGCAGCTCCCCGACTTTTTCGCGTGCCGTTCACCCAGCCCGCTTTTGTCGGAGTAAAACAGTGCCGCGAGCTCCACTTTTTTTTTTGGTCCTTTTCTTGTACAGCTGTTGAACGGGCACCAATCCCGGTACCTTTAACCAGCGCAGGGTAGGCCACGTGTTCACCCCCGTTATTCGGCCAAGTAGGTGCGGAGAGTCACCCTACAACGGGTGTGAACTACGAAGGAGAGCACGGAGTTGTGTGGGTGATCGTAGCGCTCTAGTAGCGTTCTAACAGAGTTCGTACTACTTGCTGTGTTAACAGAGAAATTTGGCAAGAGTTTCCACTAAGGAAATTGAAAGTACATTGAAAATTGAGAATTAGAGTACAAGAATGAGCATGCAAAGTGATATCTCTGGAATGGCATTGCAATCCCTAGCAAGCATTCTGCAAGGCGAATTGCCAGCACTGCATCAGAGCGGTTCGCCAACGCTGAAACAGAGCGGTCTGCCAGCGTAGCAGAAGGGCGACATGCCAGCGCTGCAGCAGGGCGGCCTGCCAGCGCTGCATTCGCAGGTGAATATCTGCGCAGGTGTGCACCTGCCGAGTAGGTGCAGGTAGACGGTTACACCGTCAGAGACATTGCGCAGGTGCCAGGTAGAAAACGCTCCGACGGTTTCGTCAGATGTCCGCCGTCGAGCACGTGATGCCATTTCGGAGGTCGAATTTCGCTAAGAGCCACCTGAGCGAATTTCGCATGCCCTTGCAGAGTTTCGCAGTCGCGCGAATTCGGCCGACCAGTTCGCCGAGCTGACGCTCGCCGAACAGCGCCCTTCGATCAGAGAACGCGGCTCCTCGGACAGCACCCCGTCCGTCAGAGATCGCGCGACCCAGAAGCAGATCAGAAGACGAGCTCGTCGAACAGCACCCCGTCGACCAGAGATCGCTGACGGGCTGGTGAATCACAGGACAACCTTCCTCGAAAACCACCCGCGGTTTCAGAGGACGGGCTGATCCAATGCGACGATCACTTCGTCGAATTCACCACGTCGTCGCAGAGAATGCCTGCGCCCAAGCGAGGGCGGGGCCTTTCACTCCGACACTCCCCTGCCCAGCTCACGCTTGGGCACCCACACACAAGGTCCACCCAGAACCTAAGTAATAGAATACAAGGGGACATTACTCTGGCGTGCATACTCCCGCACGCCGATCACCGCACCAGCCATGTTAGAGGACATGGCACCTACTGCTGCACGTCGTCATCGTCGTCGCCAATTTCGGCAAGGCGAACCTGGCCGACCGCGACAGAGCACCGGTTGAAGGCCGGAAAGTGCAGCCCTTTCGTGAGGAAGTCCGCCGGCTGCTCGGATGTCGGGATGTATTCCAGCGCAATCTTCTTGCGCTTCACCATCTGCTGCAGCCAGGCGTAGCGTCGCTCCATGTGCTTGAGGTTGCCCTTCAGCCCCAAGCCCTCAGCGACCGCGATTGCGGACTGATTGTCCACGTTCAGAGTAGTCGGTGTTCCAGCATCGAGGAGCTGGAACTCGGCGAGGAGGAATCGAAGTCGACGGTTCTCCTTGCCTGCTTCGGTGGCCGCGATGTACTCCGACTCTGTAGAGGACAGAGTCACGCACTTGATGCGTTGGCTCGTCCAGGAGACTGCGGCGCCGCCGAAGGTGAAAACGTAGCCACTTGTGCTAGTGCGATTCTGCTTGTCGCCAGCGTCGTCCGCGTCCGCGTAGCCGACCAGTTTCAGAGTTTCGAGTCCTCCTCCGAACTCCAGAGCGAAATCGCGCGTGTCAGAGAGGTAGTTGAGGCAGCGATCGACCTCGCGCCAGTGCTGATCGCTCCTCACCGTCAGACCAGACCCCAACTTGCTACACGCGAAAGCAATGTCGGGTCGAGTTGTCGTGGCAGCGAACTGCAGAGAACCGACCTTCTGACGGTACTCCTCCTCTTCGCGCGACTGGAAGTCCTCATCGTCGAAAGTCAGCTCCGCGTAAGCGTCGACGGAAACAGGCGTCTTCGGACGCCGACCAGTCTGCTC